TTTCACTAAGAGCCACACATAATCCTCACTCCATTTCTAAATAGCAAGATCACATTAAAACTCAAAAATAGATAACATTAATCACTATAATTCAAATAACTACTCTTCAGACCTGGCAGGAAACCTTGAGAGTTTTGAACATTGCCCTTCGTTCTCTTTTCCTATGAAATTCTGGCAGAACAGAGGGAAGAGTAAAGCGTGCTTGGGGACTGGGGTTTGTTAACCGTAATTAAAGTTAGGGCCAGCCTTAGAGTGAAGTGGCATTTGTTACCTTCCTGCTCTGTATCTGCACATTCAGAAACCCATCATTTCCACAATCATAGTCAGGTCACCCTTGACTGTAACTGGGACGGGAATATGTTAATAAGACCATCCTAATTTTATAGAAGGATATAACCAAGAACAGATAATCATTACTGCAATAGCAATCATCTTTTGCATAACAATTACAGGTTACAAGCCCTTCCACCTGTGTGATCTTATTTATAATAAGATTTCCCAGAGAACAGTAATTTGCTACTATTATTGTTCCTCATGACTTCTCAAGAATCTGAGTCACAGAGGATTTAAGTTAGTTTTTGGAGATCACGAAGCTAGTTAAGTATTGGGGCTAAAATTCAGACCAAAATCTGTTGACTTCATAGCCCATATAATCTCTACTATATCATGCAACTTCCCAAACCTACATGAATTATTGGATCAAGAATAAAGGTGAACATCAAAAATAGTCAATATAATAAAAGACTCAGATTTGCTAACACTGTTTAGGAAGATTGGGGATGTGACAATGTGCCCATGAGAAAACCCAATTGGGCAATGCTCTTCTCACTAGCAGTCTGGAGAAGGCAAGTCAAAACTATGATCACACCCATTAGATTAGTAAAAATTAAGTCTGAGAATACCAAGTATCGTATCAGAAAGGAAACAGTGAAAATTCTGAGACACGACTGCAGGGAATATAAATTGTTTTGTCAGCCATTTGCCTTTATCTAACAACGGTGAAGGTGGCCGTGGCCTGTGCCTTGCAACTCTCTACCAGGGTACATACCTCAGGAACACTCTCCCACGTGTGTACAAATACCATGGAAAGGTATTATCAATGCAGTTATCTTTAATAGTCACAAATTGGTAAGAACTCCAGTGTCCATTGACAGGAGAATGGATAAATGTTAATAGTAATGTAGCCATACAATAGGTACTATATTAAAATGAAAAGTAATGAACTAGAGATACAAGTATCAAAATAGATAAGTAGCACAAATATATTTTGAGAAAAACAGAATATTAAAAAGTATACCATTTACAAAAGGCTTAAAATATGTGAAACACTTTCTAGGGATTATTGCTTTTTAGGAATTAAATAGTATTTCCATACATTGTTTTTAGGGCTACCTAGATAAGACATAAGACATAAAGTTCGTGTAAATAACAAGCCTCAAAATACAGGACCATGGTTACCTTTGGGAAAGACAGTAAAGTAGAAATACTTTACTAAAGGTGGGGAGAGGTGTTAGCCTGGGAGATTCTACTAACAGAAGCAATGTTCTAATCATAACTTGGCTGCTAGTACACAGGTTTTTGTTATTCTTTCAAACTTTTCAGTGGATAAAATGTATCATAACAACATTAAAAATAGAAGGGGGGCGGTGCCTGTGCCTCAAAAGGGTAGAGCACTGGTCCCGTATGGTAGAGGTGGTGGGTTCAAACCCAGCCCTGGCCAAAAACTGCAAAAAAATAAATAAATAAATAGAAGGGAAGGGAACAGCAAAAAGTCAGTTTATCTGAATCAGACACTTCTCTGGGACACTGAGATGGCCCGAATCAGTTGAAAGTGATGTGCACAGTGTCCCCAGCTGCCAGAGTCTAGGGAGGAATCACAACAGTTGAGTGGGGAGTACCCATTCGGTTCAGCTCTGAGTCCAGCTTTAATGCCGCAGCCATTGCCTCAGCACTCTCTGATAGGCATAACGGGAGAGTGAGATTCCGTCTGACCAGCCACACAGCCTGTGCCGTATTCTAGACCTAACCTGGATCCCTGAAAATGTTTCACCTTTCTGTCTATATCTTTAGCACTTTCAAATAATTATCTAGCATTTGAGAAGAGTGAGGGTTAATGAAGTCAATGCTGTTGATGGTACTTAGGATTGTTTTATTCATAGAATTATTTATTTTGAAGTGCATTTAAGAAGAATATAATTTTATGTCATATACCTATGAAAGACCAGAAAAGTATTTAACTCTACAAGTTCAACTCTGTTTTTTGTTTTTGGTGGTTGCAATCTTGCTGGGCAAAGATGTTTCAGATTGTCAGAATGAAAGCCCTAGCCATTTTCACCACCCATCTCAGAATTACCCTGATAAAGTGATGTCCGCTGCGGTACTTATTTGACAATCTGTGGAAACATGTCTTTTCATCCCTCATGCACTCTTCAGGATAGCCAGGCACAAAATCTCAATTTGCAAGTTCAATTTTCAAGTATTATGTTTTGTGAGGATAAAAATACCAATCCATGATAGAACAGTTCTCTAAAAATAAAGTTGTTATTCATACATAACTGAAAATTTTAAAACAATTATCTCAAACCATGATTTTCTGCATTTTCAGGAGGAAAAATTGTTTCTCTGAATATATTTTATAATGAACGATTTGCATTCAGGTCATTTCTAATCATGAAGTTAGCTTCTAACCAGTAGACTTCTGCAAATCTCTGATAACTGATTATAGAGAGAGGACAAATACCTTCATTGAAAATGATCAACAAAAGTATCAATTTAAGATCAGAGGAAGAGCAGCTTCCTCTGTGAAAACCAGGGTCCCGAATCTCCTCCATTCTATTTTAACACAATCATGTTAATAATGTTTCATATTTATTGAACACACACTGCGTATTGGGCACTATGCTAAGCACATTTTCTGTGTTACCTCATTTACTCCTCACCACTTTACAAATGAAAACTGTGGCAAAAAGACGGTAAGCAACTTGCCCAATGCCCCATGTTTTTTAAGTGGGAGAACCAGGGTATCAGTCTCCCTCCCTGAATCCCAAAAGCTGTGTGTCCAACCTTTGCTTGCATATACATGAGAGCTTTGTAATTACCTACTATAGATGGGGGGGAAATGGGCAAACACTTTTCTCTTCCATAAAAAAGAAAAAAGGCAATTGACTCATTCAACTTAAACCAAAAAGCCCATGTCTATGTCAGGGCTTTACTTTTCATCCCAAACTCATGACCACCATTTCTCAATAGTTTGAAAATTCTATTAACTGAATCGCACTGAAGATGGAAATGAAGATGAAAAAGACAAGTCGAACTTGTGCCTCTTTAAGGTACAAACTCTTCGAACCTTTTTTCCGAGACATTTTACCGAATACAAAGTTGTTTCTGAACTTTACAAATAAGTAAATAGCATTTTTTTGTAGCATTTGATCATTACATTTGTTGGCAGACCTGGTGTAACCTTGAGTCACCTACAGTGAATTTCACTATTATTCTAATTGATTTTCTCACTGCTTACTGAGAAACAGAGCCCCTCTGTCACTAGTCTCATAAATAATTCCATTCCTGTGTGTCAACATTAATTGAACTTACCTCATGCTGTTAATCTCTTTTCTCTTTGCAGGTGATGTCATCGTCTACATTAATGAAGTGTGTGTCCTCGGACACACTCACGCAGATGTCGTCAAACTTTTCCAATCCGTTCCTATCGGTCAGAGTGTCAACCTGGTGTTGTGTCGTGGCTACCCTTTGCCTTTTGACCCCGAAGATCCTGCTAACAGCATGGTGCCACCCCTTGCAATAATGGAGAGGCCACCTCCAGTGATGGTCAACGGGAGACATAACTATGAAACGTATTTGGAATACATTTCTCGGACCTCACAGTCGGTTCCAGATATAACAGATCGGCCGCCTCACTCTTTGCACTCCATGCCAGCTGATGGCCAGCTAGATGGCACGTACCCACCACCCGTCCATGATGACAATGTGTCTATGGCTTCGTCTGGGGCCACCCAAGCTGAACTCATGACCCTAACCATTGTGAAAGGTGCCCAGGGCTTTGGCTTCACGATTGCCGACAGTCCTACAGGACAGCGGGTGAAACAAATACTTGACATTCAGGGATGCCCTGGCCTGTGTGAAGGTGACCTCATTGTTGAGATCAACCAGCAGAATGTACAGAACCTGAGCCATACAGAAGTAGTGGATATACTTAAGGACTGTCCCATTGGAAGTGAGACTTCTTTGATTATCCATCGAGGAGGTAAGACAAACTGTGGCTCAGCAGTAACCTATGTGGGTAAAATAGTAGGACCCTTTAATAATTTTATTAAAATGAAGGTTTCTCTGGAGTTGAATGAAATCATACTTTTAGAAGCAAAGGTAAAAGAGTAAGGGAAAAAACATGAGTACAGGAAGCTGTGTGTTTCAATTTGGAGAATTCATCTTTTCCTATTTTATACTAAACACAATTGTAAGAGTTCTTTCAGTTTTATAAACACTGATAGGAACTTGGAGGGTTAAAGACTGAATCCCCAGCTATGAAGGTGCTTTATTTCAAAAGTTCATTAGTGCGTCGGTTGTAGAGAACTCCAATTGTTTTCTGGTTGATTTAATTAAGTAACATGCTTTTCCAACAGAAACAATGCTTTGAATTGTACTTAGGATTCCAGGCTAGTGGGTGGAAGTTGGTTTGACCCCTACCAAGCCTGAGCAAATCCTGATAATCTCCATTAGGACCACTGGGAGTTGTGTTGCTATAGGAAAATCTTTCCAGAGTCTGGGACAGGGTTGTTGGGACACTTCTTCCCCTGCTACAGGGACTTCACTGGCAACAATTTCCCATAGGCCCAACCAAGAAAGTTATGGAACAGGGTGAGGGCTGAAGGGCTGAGTGTTCTGGGTGAAGTATGGCAACAGAAACAGTGGAGAGTGTGGAGAACCTCTGAGCCCCTGGGTGTTTCTTCCCCTCTGCTTCCCCTGTGGGAAGGGGAGAGGGCAAAGTAGAGGGCCCTTCCTTCAATTCTCTGCCCCTTGCTCTTGATGGCCAGTGAAGCTCAGGGGAGGAGGGAGGAAAGGGGCCATATAGATAACGAGGATACCCAAAAAATAGAGTGTGGAAGGGAAGGCTCAGGTTAAGTCCTGGATTTCCCACTTAACCAATTTTGAGAATTAAGACACTTAAATTCCCTGAGCCTCAGCTGTCTCATCTGTTACACGGGATAATAACGCTACCTAACCTGATGGCAGTGTTCCTGGTGTTGAGTGGAGCACGATAGGTGCTCACTAAATGTGTACGGAATCTAAATTAACCCTGAGCTCCAGCACGGGCAGGTCTGCAGGATCAGTACAGTGAGGAGCTCCTATGTGAAGAACCCACATGTGGCAAACCAGTGATTGCCTGTTCAAAGCGCTCAAAACAGCATGAAAGCCCTGTCCTGGTGAAATGCCAGTGACAGCAGTCAAAGCAGAAAGGAAGAAGTACCTTTTGTGATTTATTTGACCCTCTCTGCAGGTGTTTCCCCTTCAGGGAGGTATTACATTGTTGATTCCTTGTTTGGAAATGGACAAAAAAATACCAGACATTTGTGAACAGCACTCTACCAAATATGTTCCTGCATTAAAAGGGGGAATTAAAGTGATAGCTAAACAATCTTAAATTTGACCTTCTTAAGGTATTGTTACAAAGTAGCACTTGAATTTTGATAATTAAATGTTGACAGTGTATTTTAATTTTACCATTGCTTGTTTAAGATTAAAACAAATATTCCTAGTAGCTGTATCTTCATAATGTTCAATTAAAACTCAAATATTTGGAATAGTCCTTGATATTAAAAGGTGACTAAAAATCACTGTGCGGTATCCATTGTATGGTTCACAGAAAAATAAATTCAAACACGTTTTATATATAATGGCTTCTTCTAAAAGGATGGCATAGCAGGAGGAAAGTACCTTCAAATCCTCTATTTGTATGATTGTAATTTGTGCCTTTCTAAAAGGATTTATTGTGTGCCTGCCATCAGCTCAGCTACCCTGTTCTAGCTCGTCCTCCTCCCTCCCCCCCCCATTTAATCCTCCACAAGTCAGTTTTGTTTGCATTTTGTTTGTGTCTGGGGGTGAGGATTTGTTTTTATTTTTTGGCTAGTGTAGAATTGCAGAATAGAGTACCCTGAGATGCTTACAGTATTTCTGGTTGAAAATCTCTTGAGTTTCCCCAAATGCCCACGATTTGTATTCATCTCTCTGAAGTTAATAGGAACTATCACATTTTTGTGGTGAAATTCACTTTTATTATCTTATTATAGACTACTTGGCAGAGCCTCTGACATCATTCAGATAAGCCTAGATCTTCAAGAGCAGAGTAACAGGCCTGGGTCCTTATATCAGAACTACAGTTGTTTGATTTCAATTATTTACTAGGATTTTTGTGTATAAACTAACACATGGTTTAATTGTTTTAAGCAAATAATATCGGAAGGTATACAATGAAAAGTAATTTTCAGTCCTTTTTCCCAGAGATAGACCTTCTGTATGTATGCTTTCAGAAAGTCTTCAGTCTACTAGCACACGTATGTGAATATACAAATTGCACACGAACTTTATGTCCACCCTCTGTATAGCATGTTTAATAAAGATGAAATGATATTATTTGATAGCATTTGATAGCATTTGTCTTGCTTTAAAACAGCTTGGATATTAGGGTAGAATCATTAATTTTTTATATACACCATGTGGTAAAATTTACATGCCATAAAATTTACCAGTCTAAGAATATGCTTTAATAAGTTTTGCTAAAATGATACACTTATGTAACAATCACCATAATCCTCAGAACACTCTTCATCCCAAATTCCCTCATGCCCATTTGCCAGTCATTCCCTCTCTTACCCCAGCCCCATGTAACCTCTGATCCGCTTCCAGAGCAGCTTTGCCTTTGGGGAGATTCTTCATAAATGGAATCATACAGTACATAGTATTGTATAATACTATTGAGAGTTACCCACCTGGGTGCATATAAAAGTGGTTTATTTCTTTTATGGCTGAGTAGTATTACATTGTGTAGATATACTACCTTTTTGGTCCATTCATTAGTGGATGAACATTTGAGTTCATTTTTGTCATTGATGAATAATGCATTATGAACATTTGAATGGAAGTGTTCGTGTGTGCGTGGTTTCATTGTCCTTGGGTAGATACCTAAGAGAGGTATTACTGAGTTGTATGAAGAGTGTATATTCAAATTGTTATGAAATTGTCAGACTGTTTTCCAAAATGTCTATATCCTATTATATTCCTGCCAGCAATGTAAAAGGTTTCTAATTTCTGCCCATTGTTGCCCATGCTTGATATAATCAGTCTATTTTATTATAGTTATTCTGGTGAGTGGATGGTGACACCTTTTTGTGGTTTGAATTTCCATTTCTCTAATCTTTGGTGTTCACCGTGTTCCTATGTGCTGTTTAGTATTTGTATATCTCCTTTGGTAATGTGTCTATTCAAATATTTTGCCTATTTGTATATTGGGCTATTTGTTTTCTTAAGAAGTTGTAAAAGTTCTTCATGCATTCAGAGTACAAGACCTTTATAAGATACATGATTTCCAAACATTTTCTCACTGTCCAGAGCCTGTTTTTTCATTTTCTTAATGGAACCTGTGAAACACGTTTTTAAATTCTCTTAAAGCCCAATTTATCACTTTTCTTCCTTATACAGATCATTCTTTAAGTGTTATATCTAGGAAATCTTTGCCTAACCCAAAGTCACAGATTTTTTTCTATGTTTTCTTCTCAAAATTGTATAGTTTTAGCTCTTATATTTAGTCTGTAAACCATTTTAAGATAATTTTTGTGTACAGTGTGAAGGATCAAAATTTCTTCCCTTGCATATGTATATCCAAGTGTTCTATCACCATTTGTTTAAAAAACCTTTTCCGTTGAACTCTCCCAGCACTTTTGTCAAAAATGAGTTAGCAGAAATGTGAAGATTTATTTCTAGACGCTCTCTTCTGTTCCATTGACTTATATTTCTATTCTTATATTAATATCAGGCTTTCTAGATTACTTTAGCTTTATGTTAAGCCTTGAAATGAGATAGTATTAGTCTTCCAACTTTTTTCTCTTCTTTCAAAATGATTCTGGCTATTTTAGATCCTTTGCTTTTCTATAGAAACCCTAGGATTGGATTTTTAATTATTCCGTTACGTAAAAGGCCTACCGAGATTTTGATGTTGCGTTAAATCTACAGAGCAACTGATGGAGAGTTGCCAACTTCACACTGAACTTTTAAATTTATAAATGTGATATATTTCTTTAATTATTTGGATTTTTAAGTTCTCTCAGCAAAATGGTTTATAGTCTGCAATGTACAGATCTTTTGCTTCTTTTGTTAAACTTATTTTTGGCTATTCTTTTTGATACTATTGTGAATGAAATTGCTTTCTTAATGTCATTTTCAGATTGTTCATTGCTGATATACAGAAATACATTTGTTTTTAGTTTTAATCTTATATGCCGAAACTTTATAAAACTCACTTTTTAGTGAGTCTGGAGGTTTTTTATAGATTCTGTGATTTTTTTTAGTTATTTTGTCACCTAGTAATAAAGTTCCTCCTTTCCAATTCGTACGCCTTTGATTTCTTTTTCTTACTTTATGACACAAGCTAGAACGTCCACCATGATGTTGAATAGAAGAGATATGCACAGACATTCTTAGTTAGGGGGAAAGCATTATTTTTATATGGTCAAGTATGATTTCAAGTATAGGGTTTTTATATGCCCTTTATCAGATTGAAACATTTCTCTTTCATTCTCAGTTTGCTGAAAATTCTTATAATCAAGAGTCTTTGGTCTTATCAAATGTCTTTCTGCTTCTATTGAGATGATTATGTAGTTTTTATCCTTTGTTCTATTAATAATGGCACATTACATGACCCGATTTTAGATGTAGAGCTAATTTTACATTCCTGGGATAAAACCACTTGATCTTGGTATATAACTCTTTTTTGTATGTTGTTAGATTCTGTTTACTTCTAGTCTGTTATGTGTTTCGTAACCTGTTTGCCATTTTCTATTCATGGATTTCTTCCTCTGGTTTTTGTGTCAGGTTCATAGTGGCCCCCCTCACCAAATGAGTTGGAAAGAGTTTCCTCCCCATCTGTCTTCTGAGAGTTTGTATAGCACTGATATTACTTCTTGCTTAAAAGTTTGATAAAATTCACCAATGAAATCCTCTATGTTGGGCTTTTATTTGTAGAAAGAGTATTCG